ATTTAATGTACAAGTATATACATATATCATTCAATGTTTTCATGTGTTGTTATTAATATTTGTCCATATAAATTAAATAAAATGTAAGTCATCTTTGATTTGACAAATATAAGGTCGTTTGGAATTTAAGTACATAGAATATCTTTCCTTGAAATATGTTTACAAATATCTTGGTTTGTTAAATCTATCTCTTGAATTACTGATGTGTTTAACCAACTAACTAACTATCTAAAAAGAATCATTAGAGAGTGATATTTTCATTTTGGGTTATAGATTTATAGAACTTCTTGTTAGGAAGACTAACTTCACTTCTTAATAAGACAAAATTGATCTCAGCCACTTGTTATTACTTTAAAATTTTTATGATTAGACTTATGGATCAAAATGTTTTGATTTTGTGGCTAGTAATTGTCTAACCTGACAATGCGTACATGGATTCCAGATTTTCAATCTTCAATTTTAGGGTTTGAAATTGTTAGCATGAATTATACTCTTGGATCTCTTACAAGAGCAGCTTCCATACGGACTTGAACTTCACATTCTAGTTAACAGTCAAGTAAGAGGAAGAAGAAGGACATAGGAGCAAATTCTTTCATTGCATTAAAGCTGTAGTTGCAACTGATTAGCTGAGCGGACAAACATATCAAATGAGCAGCTACATTTTAACATATTTCGTAGTAGAAGTTTCAGAGTAAGAGTTGGAATCTTTCGAATAAACTAATAAAAATGATTAAGATCATGAACCGATCAATGTTAGACCCACCAATGAGAACCTGGAATCACTGAAAGACCGTCTTGCCCCAGTATGGGACTCCTCAGCAGTGCGCATCCACGATTCTGCACATGGGATTCGAAACCAGGACTTTCGGTCACGCGCTTGAACGCTTGACCTCTAGACCACTAAGCCGGTATCTAACGGTGTTAATGTTTAACTTCAACCAATCCACGATATGGCACGATCATCGATTCATGAACTCAAACGAAACTCAACAAACTGCACAACCCTGTACTAATAATTATCATATGCTCACTGGTGAATAGCTTCGGGAGATAATTCACGGAGTTCTAGTGAGAAGCCGTAACCAGTGGAGCTAATCCGTATCGGATGTGAGGAAGTTACCAACCGAAGACAATATAAGCTAGTTACGCAATATCGTGGATTGGTTAAAGTTAGACATTGACATCACTGGATATTGGTTCTTTGGTCTGAAGGTGAAGCGTCCGCTTTCTAGACCGAAGGTCCTGGGTTCGAGTTGGGCGTGCGGGTTGGTGGATACGCACTGCTGAGAAGTCCCATAACTAGGACAAGACGACCATTTAATGATTTCAAGTTTTCAACAGTAGTCTAACATTGATCGTCTCATAATCTTAATTAAAATTCAACAATCTCCACAACCCTGTACTGATAATACAAATAATATACATCAGCAATATTTTGATTGATAGATGATCTTTTGCGTAAATGATTTCCTCTTAAATAAGTTGATTAGTTAGTCATTAATTAGTTTAATGTGTGTTTTCTTCTTTAAAACCGATACCTATATACATTGACAGCTAGAATTATACTTCTTCTTTTTATAAGTATGTAGAGTTGAAATAATATTACAAGAAATGATAATTTATCTTGTCATTTATATCATTACATGAATTTGTAAATTATTTTCTTTGATGTATATTAAGGTCAAATAGATTATTATTATTATTATTATTATTATTATTATTATTATTATTATTATTATTATTATTATTATTATTATTATTATTATTGTTATTATTATTATTAACTGTTATAATGATATTCTATTTAACCAATTAGATTTTTATATCACTTACCTTGGACAAACTGTTGAATAATTAATGTTGCGAAACTGTTTAACATCTTATTAAATAAATAGAAATTACTCATTTAATCAGTCATTATTAATTATTTAATCAATCAAGTATAAATTATGACCATCGAGTTATAGCCAATAGAGTTTACAGATTGAAATTCATTAAACAATTTCGTTAATGAACAATCGAAAAAGACATATGAACATTTCTATTGGATTAGTTTGGATAATAGAGAGAGGTTGATTATGAATATAGTAGTCTTGAGTGCTGTTAGAGGTATGAGGGCGGTTATCAATTCCCGGTTGCACACACCGTGGAAGGGTTCTTCTGGAGGTACCTGAAAAGGAAATTGTATTAGAGGTGGTCGTAGTAACCTGAGAGGGTGACCGCACAATACCCAAGGGACAACTGCTTGAGGTCGGTCGCACACGACCATTTTATGGGTAATTTCTGTGTTAGCTCCGTACTTGTTGAGACATTACCGCCGGAGATGGATATTCGTGGGATAAGGCGAGGTGTGCATTTTTAGGGTCGACATTTTCCAACCCTACCCCTCCTTGTGGGAAGGTAGAATCGCTTTTATGCTGGTTGTCTGAAGGAAACACCTTACTGCTGTCACATCTCTGTACAGTCAGCAGTACGACTTCGCCTTTGGACCTTGGTTTTGTTGCCTTTAGTCTTACCGCTCTCCAACCGACCTGTCCGACATGGTAGGACTTTGAGGAACAGTTGTTCCAGCCAGTATAGCTCGGTTGCTTCATCAAGATAGGCAAGCCCGACCACTACGTCAAGGTAGCAACAACGGTTGAAAGAAAGTTAGGAGTAGCCAAACCAAAACATGGCATCAGTGCTTGAAGACATTAACCTCTAGTCTGAGCCATGTTGGGAGATGCAGACTACTTGGTTGGAGTCCGCGTGACTATCGTATCCAATGATTGGAGACTCTTGGTGACATGGCTGAGAATCGATCACAATGGCGTCGGTGTATGCACTCTCTGTCTTCCCTTAAACTATGAGATTAAATTCGCTTCATATCTTTCTTTCTATGAACTGATTCTTTCTTCCTTTACTATGTCCTCATATGCAATCTTTCTTTTATATATTACCACCATTGGCTTAAATACTTTTATGAATCCGATGTTGATCTTGTTGTGTTAATGAGTTATGACAACTTGGAACGATGCATATATGTGTCTGGTCCTACGTTGTAGGTGATTGAATGAGTTTAGATATTATTAATAACGCTAAAGATTAAATAAACATGAAAATAGCCACTGTTTCTTAGTAGTCAATCAAGGTAAATACCTTAGTCTTAAAAAGTGTCAGTTATAATTCGGATCAACCGATGCTAAGGCTTCAGATAATGGGATTAGCTAGCCAGGGTTTGAATTTCTTAAGCATCATTTTTCTAGAGATTTCAGATATCCGTCTTAGACGTGTACCAACTCACTCAAAGCTTATTTACAATGTTCCCTCCCGATTACCTTCAACCATCAAACATCAAAGTGATCTTTTGTTTTTTAAGTCCTAATTTATGATAACCTTGAACAAAATATTCATTTGCTTTTGTCATATACTTTTTTATCGTTTTTTATATCTTATTTTCTAATTGTGGAATATGTGTTTATAAGCCTTCGTTTTGATTTTCTAGTTTATACTCTCAGGCAATTGATTTGTGGAATAATTAAGTACATTCTATTAACCAGATGATTCAGTATAAAAATGTCCTCTTTCAAGATTTTTAACCATAGTAAGGTTTAGTCCTCATAATTGAATACACTTTTTTATTAGAATCTTTTGCTCTAAAAATTAGTGGATTATAACGATTAGATTGGTAAATTAATCCTTCTAACTGGTGATCTTGTCTTTGTTACCATTTCAATGTTGGGTTTAAATCAATCATCCTGTCTCGAGAGCAGCTATTATTCCACCACATTACATTTCATCTATCGACTGGCCTTGAATCCATTCATTTTAATAGCTGGGAATACGTTCATAAAATCCTGATGTATAATAGTGTCACATTTTATATTTCATTCTCTGAGCTGGATAATCTACTTATGAAGTTTACACTCTTTCGAGACAATATTGTCAGCATAACATTCAAATAGTATTGATGTTCGTAGTTGTTTAATCATTGTTTGTTGTTAATTGACATATCGAAAACAGAATTATGGTTTTATTAATCATTATAGATACTGGACCACTATGATTCAACATTGACACTTTCTATTCGAGAGATATTTAAGCATTAGATTTCTTTTTATGTTGTATATTTGAACAGTGTTAATAATTCATGCGTTTTTTTGGCTGTATAACCCACTTCTCTGATTATTTTATTCTAGGATCTTCAATAGCAGTGGTATATCATCGAGTTATTGTGCATAAATGTCATTAGCCCCTATATATAAATTCAGACCAGATAAAAAAAACTGATTTTGTAATACTATGTTGAAACTATTTCCGAAATTCAGATAAGATATTCAATTGATTGTAGGTAGTCAAATCAAGATCTTTTATGGATCACTATACTATCTACGAAGATAAGGGTTAGAGTAAATCCCTGAATTCTTAAGTGTGTGGTATCTGTTCTCAAAAATGTAATGTTTAGACAAATTAGTTTGAAAAATGTAATGTACAATCTAAAGTGCAGTAGACATATATAAAGTAATAACTGAGAATGTAAAACAGACGAATGCAATATAATATAAAAAAAAAGTATTTTACTAATAATACTCAAGTTATACTGATTTATTTAGTAAATAAGTTTTCAAATTCACTTTCGTCTACCCTAATCACTTACTTCTCCTAAACCTATTGTTGTTAAGATCATCTTTCCAAGTAAGCTCATTGTGTTGTGCTCTAATAGTTTAAAATTATTGAGTTCACATTCTAATGCACATATGTAGTACTCAATATTTCTAACCTTATGTGCCAAATTAAATAACAAGATGTAGTAACTGTATAACCTAATACTCTTTGTTTATGAATATTTCTTGTTATCTTTATTTGATTACATTTTATTACACTTACCTGTCTTTGATGATTCAATGAACAGCCAAGAATACACATATGATTCGATTTGTTAACTGGTTATCATTTTATGATAGAGATACATTGATAAGTTATAGATTATTTTCTTAGAAATGTAATTTTTCCTTCAATAGTTTCTTATAAAAGAAATTACTAATCTTCGTGAGTTAAGTCAACGTAAAATGGAATTTGTTGATGAAGCTGATAGATATAATCAAGAATTGGATAATAATAATCGTCAATTGATGCGTAAAATTTCCGAAGATCAACAAAAGATTCAGCGGTAAGTAATGAATAATGGTGTATGAAGTATATTTTTATAGCGTAAACAGTATACAAAATATATTATGTAAGAAAGCTGTTTCTGAGGTTGTAACCATTAGATTAAGATTTAGATTCTTGACCATGACCAATGCTATGACACAAATGTAAACCAATGCAAGATGTCTGATACAGTCAAGTTCGTTAGGAGATGTGTAATTTATGGATCAAATATGATAAGTTCATCGTATCATAATTTAATCAGTTAATTAACGAAATTATTGGAATAAATTCGTAGAAACATAGCAATTCATGAGTTAAAAGACATTTCAAATTTCAAAAGAACTGGATCATGTAGATAAGTCAGATAAACTTATGAAATCATTGGTTATTTGTTTAATAGTAATCAGCTTACCAATGGAGGAAGCCATATATATAATACTCTAGCATTTTGATTTACTTCCTTTAGACTCAAACGAGTTTAGAAAATCACTGTTTCTTTGGACCAATGGATATTCAATTCAAATTTAATAACCCGTTATACAGATGAATTAATGGAATGGCTGATCATAGGGTTACCGGTTAGACCTATTCTACCCGACATGTTTATAACCAATATTTAATAAACGAAAATGAGACGTCAAATAGGGGACATAACATTATACAGAATATGTATGGACGATGTATTTATTGTTTGTAACAGTTTGTATATACTTCTTGATTCCTTTGCCAGCTCAGCAAAACACATGGAAACATCAAATTTACAATGTAATTTGAACCTAACGATCAATCCAACTATCTAGATCTAAACACAAAACGAAGAATGTCCTAAATGTCAGTTGTTAATAAAAATCCGTTTTCACCTCTTTTAAATTTAAAAGGGATGAATTTTCAGGTAGAGTTGGTTAAATTTATAAAGTGGTCCTTAAAAGAACCTATTCTGCAGCACAACCGGTTTTTAGAATATAGAACTAAATCTTCGTTAACCCAAATAATGGTGGATCAATGCCTTTCTGTGGTAACTTTTTAAAGTATTCATGAATAAACAAACGTTTGTGTTAGCGAATACACAAGAAAGGCTAAAACAAGAAGTTTGGATCAAGTTTTTTATTCGAACAATCAAGTGATCGCATAATTGCTTGAACAGTTAGGTTTGTGCAATCAGGCTACACACCCGACCTTCATTCTAATCAATATGAATTCAATAGTCATGATTCTGTCCTCTTAGCAGTAGACAATTATATCCGGCGTATCGTTTTATCTGAGTCTAGAATAAAATATTATTCCTTTTGAAGTAAATCTGACATGCTTTAAATATTCAATTTGTGTGCGACATTCAAGATTTTCAGGTAATTCTCTGTTCATTTGATGGATGAATACTGCATAAAGTGGGGTAATTTTCAATGGAGATTTCTTTTTAAACATTTGAAGTTATCTCCAACTGTCTGTTACCAATACATCACCTTTGTACACCCACATAATTTGAATGAAAATGACAAATATAATGAAATGTAGGGCTTGAAATGAAATCCTCAATGAAGATTGCACTTTCTATCCATTAAATGAATGGGAAATTTCACTGGTTGAAATCATGAGTCAATTGAAGTTAGACCACCATGGAAAACCTAGAAGCACTGGACGGCCGTTTCGTTCCAGTATGGGCTTCCTCAACAGTGCTCATCTACGATCCCGCCCCCCGCGAGATTTGAACCCAGGACCTATCAGTTTCGCGCCAGGCGCCTAACCAACTAGACCACCGAGTCGGCATCTAACGGTGTTAATGTCTAACTTCAACCAATCCAAATTACTCACAGTTATTGAACATTGAAAATGTGATAAATAAATGCAAACTTTCGTTTGCGGAATTTTTTTAATTCTTTCGTACCCAATTTCAAACTATGACAATAGGGAAGTAAATGCACTTTTGCTCTTTGTATTGATCGAGTTTATTTTTATTATGTTTTAGGATAATTTTACAAAAAAAACATTATCAGATATATTATTATTATTAATGCGAAAGTGTGATCCATTAATTACCATTTTACAGAAAAATAATGATTTGTTATTAATGTTGCAATTTTGTAAAACATTGGTATGGCACTTGTTATAACTGCGAAGATAACTATAGTTAAGTAATCGATAAATTAGTTCATTTACCGGCTTTTCAACTGTATTTTTGGTAACATGTGCTTAGTTTGGGTGTAATATGTGTGAATTTATACACACTAAATGGTAATTTATATATTGGATTCATCATTTAACTATCTGTAACTTGTTCATTTGTATTAGTTGCTTGAAACTTACCGTCAATGTTATGATGAACTTCTATTGGTCAGTCTCTTTTGGCATATGTACATTCTATGAGAGTTGTCTTGATACTACAATTAAATCCCAAACATTTCACTGCTATCCATTATCTAGTTCTGCTTAAGTACTTGTGACCTGATGCCAATAACTAGGCACTCCTTTCAGGATCCACACATGCTAGAACGGATTGATCAATTGTAGTTCATACCATCAACCATAAGATTTAAGCAACCAATGAAAAAGAATTAGTATTCACCCCACTGCACAAGCTAGTGACTATCTGAATTTAGTAGTTAAGGTGACAACGCGGTGGTCTTTTGAAACGAACGGTAGTGGGTTCAAGCATTCGTGTGAGCACGAAGGCGGATACATGTGCATTCAACTAATGAGTTCAAAGTAGAGCGAAACACGCATTCGGGATTACACTGCGAGCCACCATTCAACTCTATTTTTAGGTATAACTTGGTTTTTACTAACTATATCAATAATAACGATTATTAGCAGTACTATTAGCGGTTTTCCTGGTTGCCAATAATCATGAATGAATTTCATGAGCTTTCATTAACACTCCTTAAGTAAATACCACTATATTTTATTCAGTTGCATCTCTGTTACATTTTTGGATTGAGGTCAGCAAAGAAATTTATAATGGGTATATCGTTTTATTTTAAGCTTATCAGTTATTTGTACCTGGATTACAGTATTGATATTCACTTTGAGACTCAAACATAGTGTTGTGGACACTACTCACAAGGATGGTTGTAAGTTGTGTGTAGCGGAACGTGATGTCAAAGTTTCAGTGCATCGGAAGCACTGCGTTGGCAGAACACTGGAAGATGCAAATGGACGACCGAAGACTATATATATATACCTCCTACCTATTATAGTGTTTTACACTAGTACCATTTATTGTTCCAAACACCAATATATACTATCAGTGTATATTGACTGTTTAAAATAAAGGACAATTCAATGAGTCAGTATTCTGATCAAGTAATTAATCGATCATAGATAAAGAGTAATATACAACACTGATTTTTTTCTCATTCGTCTATGACATATAGTCACATCTTTAAGTGGTGTAATCTTGTCAATTAGTTATATCTGTTCGCTATAGACTTTGTGAGTATGTGTACGTATTGGTGAGATCCAAGACAAGAAAGGCTCTGAAAACACTGAGAAGCATCTTATCCAATCAGTCTTCACTAGAGGCTTTGCCAGAAAAATCTAGAAAATGAAAAGGTACATGTCGAGTTTCTGATTGCGTGATTACTTATACTGCTAATATGCTTAATAATATTCCAAAATTTTACCGAAACCCAAGGACATCTGAAATACTATAAAAACCCCAGATTTTCTGTGCACAAAGAAACCTTTGGAGTAAAACGTTTCTTCCATATCTCGCGCCTTTTCTCTCGTTTTCAAGTTGCTGTGTAAATCTATCCTGGGGGTTATTAGAAGAGCTTAGGAACCGAATCGAGCGTTCAATTAGAAGACTTATCAGTACATACAGTAAGTTCGTAATTAGTCAATGTCAAGTACTATTCAGCTTACTGAACACATAAATAACTGTTGATCAGTGTAATTTATGCGTTAAAATTAGTGCATCCAGATATCAGTTTGATTTGTTTTTTAAGGATCAAATCAGTTCATATTTATTTCATTTAATTCATTTCAAATTTTCTTTTTATGTTGTTTCTTTTTGATTTTCTAAATTAGATTATCAAATACAATAGCCATGTTAGAAGAACAAATTGCTGGATTAATGGAACGATTAAAAAAATACGATAATCAATCACTGATGAAAGGAACAGAAATAATCCAATCAAATTTTTCTTCTTCCACTTCATCTCCAACTTCTACACCTTTACCAACTTATCGACGACATTTATTACAAAAAAGCTCACCGACGTCTTCACCATCAACAATTATATCATCAACTAAGAAAATAAATACAACTCTTAGGCCTATTAATACTAAAAATTATAATAATAATAACGTTGACGTATTATCTTTAAAAAATCTACATAGATCAACTATTTTAAGTAAAAATTATGGCGGATATTTTCAAGAGAAAATGAAATCGAAACCAATGTACAATCATTATAATAACAGAAGTAAAACTAATCAATATAGTAGCACTTCGTTTCCAGGTTATCGTGAAAAGGGTGGTTTATTCTTTATTGATGATGAATTATTCGATCAACCAGATATTGGTGTTGCTTCTAGTAATAATAATAATAGTATTCTTGGTGCTGGTAATCAACTGAAATTATTACGAACAAATTCTAAATCCTCATCCATTTCACAATTAACATCTGAAAAATCTTCATATGCACAATTATCACCATCTAATTTATGTAATAAAATGCCTTGGATGTTGATGATCAATTCGAAGATGACAAATGAACAAAAATGTACACTATTAACTAATCATGATGATGATGATAATATTAATGATACATTGAATATATCTTCAATGTTACATCGTACATTTAGTTGGCCTCATTTAAATAAAATGTTGTTTAATTGTGATGATCATACTGACTTATTTTGTAATTTGGCAAATTATGATCATTCTTCACAATATACATTAAATCCTAATATGAATGATAATTTAATAGATGGGAAAGATAATCATGGTAAACATTCTATTTTTGAGAAGTTTTATATCATTACCTCAGTTTACTACATTTTGTACTATTTTCAAAAAAATATGGTTGCCAAATTTATTGTTTTAAATAATTTCTGTCGGTTTCTTTATTAGGAATGCATACCAGATATTCAGTAGAATAGTAATATATGATTTTATATCAGAAGGGTTTTGTGGATGTTATAGTAACTTCAATGGTTGAGATCATGAGTTGATTGAAGCTAGACCATCATGGAAAACCTGGAAGCACTTGAAGGCCGTTTCGTCCTACAGTGCAACTCCTCCTTGGCAGTGCGCATCCACGACCCCGCCTTGCGAGATTTGAACTCAGGACATATTAGTCTCGCGCGTGAGCGCTTAACCACTAGACCACTGAGCTCGCATCCAACGGTGTTAATGTCTAACTTCAACTAATCCACGAAATCGAGAGACAAATCCATCATTGTCTTCAGTGAGTTACTATCTCACAAACCTGGTTGAACTCCACTGGTCACTGCTTCTCATTACAACTCCAGGATATACCTATGTTCTGTATTTTTACAAATAGCCGTATTTTAAATAAATGATAGATAGATAGTTATAAACAATTGATAGGCCGTCAGAATCTAGTCATGTCACATGCTTGTTCATAAAACAGACACCTCATGTGCAGTCTCACTGTTAAACGTTAAGTATGATATCTTAAACAAGACACACTATCACAGGGATTCAACCACTCACCTAATCAACGTCACACGAGACGTTTCTTTGTCTAGCTTTGCGAAGAGAAATGTGAAATACAATACATTATCGTTATTTCTTTTTCTAATTATAGCTTCCTGAACACTCCTAGTCTTTTCACTTTCATTAGTAGTCTTAAAAATATGCGAATCCTTTTGTATTTTGATTGAATCAAACGTCGTGGGCTGTAACAATTAATTGGGACCTGATATATGTTCATGGAGTTTTGTTCTCTGAGCTCAGAGAACAAAACTCCATCAAAATCATCCACCTGAGCCACAAATCTTCTCCACCAGCTGATGTATGTGTGTACTTCATTATTTTCTTACTATTCGTATGACTACTTTTAGAGGAAGCTAACAAAGGAACAATAATTGTAAATTAAAGGAATGAAGTGAAATAAAAGAATAAAGAAGTCACAGAATAATACGTTTCAGACGACAATAGAAGTAAGGATTAAATACATCCCAGCTTGATTGTAAACTCTTGCGAAAAATCCTGTGACCACATTTTTTTTCTTATCCACCTGCATCCCAAACAGTGTTGAATATTAAGGTTGTAGATGCTTAACATATATCTGAACCACTTTAACCAATAAGAGTACACAACTTATTCCTTGCTCTAATAATCTTTATTTAATATTTTAAGTCTAACTTATGTATTTCTCTCATTCAGTTGTTCCAGCATACATAAGCAGTGCTTCGACAATAACCGTTATCTAGTGTTTCCAATATACTCCTATATTTGCTATATTTTCAAAAGATATGTTTCAAATAGACGAGTACTACAGAGGAAATACTCAGTTTTGTTAAAACTGACAACTAATTTACCACAGATGACTTGTGTTGATATAAATCAGCGTAGTCGAATATTTATCAGCCGCCATCTCAAAAGGACTAGTGAGATTTCTGAGGTCACTGGATTAACTGACACAGTCTCTCTGTAGAAAAACTCAGGATTAATGTAGATTAATCCAAAACCAATATTCTGAATTTTAGAAAATCCGAAATTCTTTTAAAACATTGTCACACTGTCCATCAAAATGATCAGAAGTCCCAACATAACCAATTAATATGAATGTTCGTCATATCTCCCCGTAATGTAGAGCCCTTCATTATGGTAGTTGACATCATTTATTGGGGTTCTCATCACGAACTGAAATCAGACAAAATTGCAAATTGCTATTTAGCCATACGGAAGAATGGATTTTACGTCAACATATAATACTTGGTTTTTTAAATCTATCTGGTTCGTCCACGAATTATGGTCTCGCCGAGATGGGCACAGGTTAGATATGGATATTACTATTATATATACCGATGATTTTTAACTTATACGTGTTTACCGGCTTGGTAGTTAATTAGTTTATTTTTAATCAATTAGAAAAATCCTTTAACACATGCTGAATGAATATAATTTTAACTACAAATTCTTTATTAACATATGACTACCGGCTAGCTTCAGTCATTCATCTTACCTGCTAACATTGACTTCGTACTATAGTCTTCAACATCCTAGTGAAACTTAATCATCATTCATAAGTTTAACCTTAGCAAAAAACAATCATATTTTTAGGGTTGAATCTGTCATAGTGTGAAGTCATTTGACAATCCTTATGGATTCTCTATTCCTCGACAAAATAGTTTTTTTTATAACTGTCGATTCTAATTTGCTTTAATTTTGTATAACATTTTTTCCCCTTAAACTATTTGTTTTCTTATATAAATAATATCAGTAGGTATACAAGCATATTTTCTTTACCCCCGTTCAGTTTTAAAAGTACAATTTATTGTGTATATGTGATCCTTATCATATATTACAATTGTTTTCATCAGACATGAATCGTAAAGATTGTGTGCAAAACACACAATTATATATGGAACAATAGTTTTACATCGATTTTTTGTTGCTACTATTTGTTATAGTGAACTAAACAAATTATCAGTAATTAGAGGCACGATTATTAGACACTAGAATGTCGTATGTTTATAAGTACTTGTGTCAAAGTGTTTTTGACAACTGGTATGTTTCTTTATATAAAATATTTTCGTTTAATGTGAATGCAACTCTTGATATTATGTATATATATATATATATATATATATATATATATATATATGAGCGCTTTGATCTACATTATTCGACAATAACGTGGAAGATGATTTTTTTTTCAACTAGAAGGTCGTATGACACGCGCATTGATACGAACATAGAGATCCAGATTGTTTTAGGTTGCATTCAAAAATCACTTTGTTTTAAATCCTACCAATATGTCAGTACGAATACAGGACCTAATTTACCAATTATCATATAAAACCCCAGTTGTCATAATCTTTATAATAAGTACTTTTCAGAGATAACACAACTTTACTTCGTTATTTGACTGTAATGAATATAAAACCCAGAGTACTGTTGAGATATTCACCCCAAACAATAGGGTTTGCAGGGTTTTGACAATTCCCCTCATAAATTGGTAATCTATAAATAATACAAAACATACTGTATATCATTAGGTGTTAGTATTTAGGTAGCCTTATGCAGTCACCATGCGTTCACTAGTGACTAGCTTCGAGAGGAAATTTCCTGATTTCTGTTGAGAAGCAGTGACCAAATGGAGCTAATCCGTATCGGGTGTAAGGCAACCCAACGAAAGCAACAGAAGACGGTCGCTCATTGTCGTGGATTTATTGAATTTAGACATTGACATCGTTGGATACCGTCTGAGTGGTCTGGAGGTCAAGCGTCCGCGCATGTCACCTAAGTTCCTGTGTCCGATTCTTGTGTTTGTGGCCGTGGATGCGGACATCTGGGGAGTCCCATTCATTGCTCGCAGGTTTTCAATGATGGTCTAACTTAGATAAGTTGATGGTTTCAGTCAGATCCAGAAATTTCCAACATCGCATACTAACTTTATATCAGGACTGGGGATTAAAACTCTATTCTAGTTACGTACGTTGATCGAATGTTATATGAAGAGTATAGTCACTTTCTAGGTTTCCAATGCCAATAAGATTACCAAACTAAGTACACTACATTAAAATTACTTTCGAACTCAATAAGTACTGCTTACATAACAATATACAATACAATAATATTGCTTTCATGAATAATTTAGTTCAAACTATTCTATACAAACTGATTTTTGAAAATAAGTGTTGTGTAATACTTTGTTTTATTTTACATTACAGATACATCAATTTCTTCAATTAGTAACGATTATCATTGTGAAGCATTTTCTAATGGAAATCAAGTTAATCCATCATCAGAATCTATGGGATTATCAAATTCTCTAGTCATTACAGAATCTGAAGTTAATCGGGTGGGGTGTTTTACTAAATTTCGTTTTATTTCTTTTCCTCTAAATACATGATCCATTTTCCAGTCAGTTAGCTACAACGTAGGACCAAGCACATATATGCATCGGCCCAAGTTGCCACACCCCATTAGCACAATAGGATGAAAACCAAATTCATAGAAGTAATTACTTTAGTGGTAGTAATATATAAAAGCCTAAAGTGATAGCTTACTAGTTGTAATACTCGGCTTTCAATCCTTGAGTCGTAGTTTATGTCATTAATTTATGTATTTAGAAGACTTGATCGCCTCGGTGGTTGAGGTATAAAGTTGGTTTTAAAAATATGTCAGACTCTCATGGGCTGGATTTCGGTAGGTAGTCGATCAAGTGCTATCCGATTTTATGGAACAGTAATATCTTGTAAGATTAATGACATGTGCCTTTGACCCCTCTTAGTCTTTGTCTACTACAATTCGGATGAGTCAAAAGGTGAATTTTATCGGAAGCTTTTTCACCTGTGGCTTAAGTAAGATGCAGCAATATGGAAGACTCCCCCGGCCTCCCACACTGTACGAGCATTCCATGTTCCTAAATTAATGGTTACTCTGGTTGTCAAAAGGGGTATCAGCCTCGTGACTTCTGGAGGAACTCAGCTTTCATCATGAGGCGTCATAACTCTTCTGAATGAAGACCTGACTCCCAGGGCAGACTTTAAATGATTTGAATAGTTTTTTCTGGTTAGCGTTTTTTAGCGAGTTAGTTTTCTACGAGATGGGGTCGCTAACCTCATGCCCAACCCTCCCCCTTTATTTGGGCTTGGGAATGGCAGTAGGCCCAGAGGGGCTCCATGCGGAGTTGCCTGTCTGTTAATGAAGATACGAGTAAACGGGACAGCAGTTCGCTCCCTCTTACTTTAAGGGTGTGAAACGCAATTTATGCAATTAGAAGACGTTCTCAGCTTACCGTCATTTGACTTAAGATGTCATGAAGCAATACTGGTTTATATTGGGATAATCGAATGGTCAGTGCTGACATCAGATGCATGGCACTAAGAAAAGATAGAAAATTAGTTGATGATGCAGTGAACCCTTATCGACCGAGTTGACTGAAACATTTGTTCAGTATACCAAACCACTGAATAATTCGGCGTGTAATTTTGGTTGCAATAAAATAAGGTAAGGTGGATCTAACATGATATGGTATCAGTTCATGAAGTCACTAAACGTTGCTTTGAGCCATTCCAGTGGGCACAGATTATTTAGTTGGGCGTCCCATAATAATCACGACCAACATTTTTTTCCTAACGTTTTCTAACCCCTAAGTTTCTCATAACTATTGAAATAACCAATGTCAAAATGTCCTATAATTTTTGGGTTCGATGCAAATAATTCCGACAACCCAATGAAGTTGTGACATGTGCCGATCCGGAATCTACAGTCTTATTGGTATACAACATTTAACTCTGCTTATAATCATAATGATCAGCAAGTATCATAAATTAATTTCAAACTGTAATCGGTAAAATTTAATTTAATAAAGGAAAGTAAATATGAAAGTAGCTGTACTAAGGCTTTCTATTCTAACTTATTTCTCTGATTGATATTACTTCTCTAGTAATACATATCATCATCAAAGTTTAATGTGACTCAGGAAGTCAATAGTCAATGGCAAACTATCTTCTTTTACTAACTCTCTCTCTCTCACTTTCTCAAATATTTCAGCCTAGCAGTCGTTCGTCTACACCATCTCCATCACAACACAATCATCAACAGATACTGACTAGTGATCTTAACAATACTAATAATAATGAATCAAATGAAAAAGAAAATTCTTTTATCACTGAATTCATTGAAAGTAATTTAACAGAAACAAAAACAAATAGAACCAATGATAAATTGAAACCAAGAATATCTGATCAAATTAATGATTTATTAGATGATATTCATTTTGTTAGTTATTTAGATCGTATTTATAATCCCTATATACGTTCACAATATCATGATTTAATTCATTTAGATTATAAACCAGCTTATAGGCAATTATTTCATGAAACATTTAATTTATTAAAAAATGTACGTAATATAGATAATCAGATCAAATAAATGATTTAAACACTTTTATCATATATATTACTTACTTACTTACTTACGCCTGTTACTCCTAATGGAGCATAGGCCGCTGACCAGCATTCTCCAACCCACTCTGTCCTGGGCCTTCTTTTCTAATTCCATCCAATTCTTGTTCATTTTTCTCATGTCTATCTCCATTTCCGGGCGTAATGTGTTCTTTGGTGTTCGTCTTTTCCTTTGGCCTTGAGGATTCCATGTGAGGGCATGTATATATATATATATATATATATATATATATATATATATTACTAATCATAATAATATTATAGTATTATTATATCTTTCATTAATTCATTATTTTGTTCATTCGTTTCTCGAAGTTTTTTTCTCTTTTTTCCGTTTTGCTTTCGGTTTTTCTACAGTTCCCATTATTATTATTATTATTATTATTATTATTATTATTATTATTATTATTATATTCATGTTGTATTTCTACACTTGAAACTCTTGGTAATAAGTTTGTTGTAATGAATTCGTTTTTATTAGTTATTCATTCATTTATTCATTCTAATACACCAGTATTATCTCATAATGTTGAAATAGAATATTCTCTCTTCTATGTGCAATAGATGAGGATATCAAAATTTATTAATACACTAATTCTTAATGTGTTGTTCTATGGATGATCATGTTGTAGTGAACAGAACACAAGTGGGGACAATCGAATGTGTTTGACACAAAATTACAGGACTGTGTTAATAAAATCTAACAATCATAAAGTAAATGTTTGATTTGCAAAATGTCCATCAATTATCTCATAATGATTCATACTTCATTGTCCTTGCATTTTCATACAAATTGCTTACTGTTTCCATTCTTTACTGTTCGACCCTCTTGTCTCTCTGCTGCCAGACCTTCTGTTCACAACTGACATCATATATTACTTATGTCAATATAAATAGCACACACCACAATGTCATATACATAACACATACATATAAGTTGGTATTCTCTTCACTTATATTCCATTTTAATGATTTATCTGATAGATAAATAACTTTACTACTCTTGTTTCAAGTTAATTATTTATTTCAATAATTGAGATCATGAGTCAATAGAAGCTAAATCATTATGAAAAACTTAGAAACATTGGACGGTCGTTTCATCGTATTATGGAACTCCTCAGCAGGGTTTTTTTTAAATGTTGGTCTAGTTTCAATGAACTCATGATCTCAACTATTGAAATTGTTATAATCTTCACAAAATCCCCTTTTGATATTAATTATTTATTGTAAACGTGTTTAATTAAAAGGAAATTATAATCATTATTAAAATTGGTATGTTGAATCAGTCAATTGAATTGGAATTTCTATGTATGTATATATCTTATTTGTATAATATTGTGTTTAGTTTTATAACATTCCTTTCATTTCTCCTCTTTGTGTTTATTCCTTAAATCAAGTAAAGAAATACAATATTGATTGTTATTTTGTTATCAGTATTGATTTATTGTTGTTTTTGTTGTTTATAGTCATTTCTCTGTTATTTTTCTCTTTTTTTGTATTATTCTTAAAAGATAAAGAATTAAAACAATTAACTTTATAAAAATTCATAATTGTCTTTTATTTCAATAGTTGAGATTATGAGTCAATTGAAACTAGACCAATATGGAAAACCTGAAAGCATTGAACGGCCGTTTCATCCTTTTATTTGTTTGATTTTAGTGAATAAATGAATGTACAAAAATGGTTGAAACACAGATATTAAAAAGTAAAGTATCTATTTTTATTGATTATCCAAATTATCGTAAACAGAAATTATTTCCATAGATAATATCCATTAACAGATTGATTCTGTCTGAAGTACGATTACGGGTTAGGACATTTTATGGCAGTGAAACATTGCCGGCAAGAGTAGAGGATATTCATAGGTTACCAGTGTTCGATCAAAGATGTCTTTGGAGCATTGTTCATACATCGTGGGAACACCGAGTAGGTTGTGCAGTTGTTATGAAGTGGGTACTGGGTAAAGGTGGAAAATCGATTGATAAAGTAGTGAAACTTCATCAGTTGAGATGGCTGGGACACGTGTTACGTATGCCCAACCACCGACATGCGGTGCTTTATGATGTAGGAGTGAGTTAGAAGAAAGCTAGGGGCGGTCAGACAAAAACATGGCACAAATGAATGACAAGTGGACTGAGTCAGATTGATAAGTGTAAACTACCTGGTTGGGGTCCGCGAGATGATAGAAACCGATGGTTAGAGACCTTGAATGATATGGCTCAAAATCGTTTGCAATGGTGCAAGTGCATCCACTCTTTGTGTTCTCCTAAATTCTAATCTTCTGAGTTCTTCATGCCCCTTTTTTTCTTTCCAAATTTATTTCACTGGATTATGCTCTTTAAATAACATGTTCAAACCCTAATCTTTCCGACTACTGCTTATACTTTTACTACCTCTACCACTATGGGATTTGAATCGACAATTGTATCAGTGTGCTAATGTGGTATGGCAACTTGTGCTGATATACGTACGTACGAGGTTCTACGTTGTTACTGACCGACTTTCACTTCCCTTCAACATTCCAAGTTAGTACTTGCTTCGTGATGCACCCTCAAACAATTAATAAATAGATGCTTCATGATGCAGTTTGATGATTTCGGTAATGTATGTCTTATCCACTTCCAACGTCCTTTCCTAATTGCCTCTTGAGCTAGAAGCTGGTTTGATCTCTCCCACAGTAGGCTGATTCTGATGATATCCAGTCAACGGACAATGAGTATTTTGCGTATGCAATTGTTTAGAAATACTCGTACTTTTTTGACTATGGTTGTGCTGGTTCTCTAAGTTTCGGCACCGTACGAAAGAATTGTCTTGACGTTCGTATTGAAGATTCTGATTTTGATATTGGTCAACAAATTTTTTTGAGTTCCATATGCTCTTCAACTGTAGGGACGTCGCCCTTGCTTTGCCAATCCTTGCATTTACATCTGCATCGGATCCTCCTTGTCAATCGATGATGCTACCCAGATACGTGACTTTCCACTTCTTCCATAGTGTCTCCATCAAGTGTGATTGGGTTGGTGCTTGCTTTGTTACATTTCAGGACCTTGCTTTCGCCCTTGTGTCTGTTGAGGCGTACTGTCGAAGAGACTACCGCTACACTGGGTTTCTCCGCCTGCATTTGTTGCTATGTATAAGAGAGGAGAGCTAGGTCATCTACGAAGTCCGAATCATCTAGTTGCAAGCTGTCCATTGTATTCCGTGCTTTCCCCGCGATATGGAGGTCATCATAATCCAGTCAACCGCCTGAAGAAAGGGAACGGGTGAGAGTTAACAGCTTTATCTTACTCCGGTCCTTACTTGTAATGCATCTGTTAGCTGTCTTCCATGCACGACTTTACATTGTATGTAGGTCACCAACGTAGATGATCTGTATCGAATGATTGAAGGCCTACTCGTGTTAGACAGGAATGGTGTAGCCAACGCCAAAGGCACCCTTTCATCATATTCAAGTACTATGGCCACTTTGATAACCATAAAACACAAACGAACTTATTACAGAAGTATATTGGCAAGAGTAGGTACAAGAAACTGATTGCGACCACCACCTCACAGGCCAATCCATGGAGTGCAATTAACTGATGCGCGTCGGTTGTCCTCGACTTAGACGATGATTGGAGGACTTTTCATATTGAGTGACCCGACTACTGATTGATTTGATCAGGGTCCATTAACATTTCACTGGCCCTACAGGTACACCATAGTGTCGAGGAAGGTTTCATAAGGTTCTTCTATCCATGCGTGGAATGCTTTCTCATAGCCAAGGAAGCTGATGTATAGTGACGAGTTCTATTCAACGATGATCAGTAGTGTCGCCATTTGGTTTGTGCATGACCAACACTTATGGAGTCAGGTCTGTTGATCTCAAAGTTGGGCGTCTACTGGATCTTTCATCCGGTTCAGCAATACTCTGTTGAAAACTTTTCCTGTTCCTGACATTGGTTTGATGTCTCTATTTCCTGCATTTGCTCAGTTCCCCTTTCTTTGGCATTTTGATGAGATATTCTTCTTTGCTGTCTGTCGGCACTTATTTTCCCTCCTAAGTCTTCCTGAATAGAACATGTGGCATGTTTGCAGCTGCCTCGATGCTTCAGCTGGCACACTGTCAGGTACTGATGCTTTCCCGCTCTTGATTTTTCCGATGGCTATCCCTATTTCTTCGATCGTTGGTGGAGTGACATCTATAGGAAGGTCTGTGTGGGATGCCTGATATCCGGTGGATTTCATGGGACTGGTCTATTCGAAAGTTCCTAGAAGTGTTCAACTCATCTGTCCTTGAATTCCAGTGATTGTGTTGCCTTGTTTGTCCCTGAACTGCCTCTCCGATTTCCATATTTCCCCGCCAGTTTCTTCGTCATGTCATATGGTCGTTTCATATTTCCTTCTCTTCCAGCTTCATCCGCTCTCCTTGCTAGATCTTCTATGTTTTTCTGTTTATCGGTTCTAATGTTCTTCGTCACTCGCTTGTTTGCTTCTTTGCATTAAGCTTGTACCTTGACTTTTTATGCTCTTATTCGGCTGGTTGTTGTTAATTTCTATCTTTCTGTTCTTCCTTTCTTGAATTCTTTCCAGGGTTTCTGTAGAGATCCATTTCTTATGATGATGATGCTTGCTTTGACCCATCAATTTGTGACACATTGAAGTTAATGCTTTTTTGATCCCCTTCCAGTTGTCCTCCATAGTATTTTCTTCTTCTTTGAGTAGATCCTGTGGGGCTTGAAAACTGTTGTTGAGAGTTATCTTCAGTTTGTTGAGTTTGTCATTATGTCGAGGGAACGCTTTATTGAACCTTTGTGATGCTGTCTGTCCAGCTGTTCAATGCTTCTTTATCTTTGGTTTCATCTTGACCTCAACTAGGTGGTGATTTGATGCAATGTCGACTTTTCTCCTGGTTCTCACGACTACCATTGACCTTGTGACTTTTTACTAGTGTAAATATGATCTATCAGGTTCTTCGTGATGTTATCC